CCAACATACAAAATACAATAGGCAGTCTCCCGCTCGCAAGAACATCAACAATAATTTCCATCAACACATGGCAGGAGAGTAGAGGGCGGGACATAAGAGCTTCAAAACAGATTCCAAGGGTGCCCCACATAAGGCGCAGATTAACAGGGAAGATGGCACTGGGGAGGGCTACCTGTTACAGGGGCCTATGCCTGGAAACCAGAACAAGGACCCTTACCGTGTCTTGAAAAGAAGATGGATGATGTGGAACATTTACTGCTAATCCTGGTGTTCTCAAGTAAAGTTACTCACCAGCTTTGGGTACGTACTTGAAGCAGCCAAGAGACATGCTCTGCTGGCTGTTGTGGATAGTCTGGGAACTGTTTTCATAAGGAATGAGACACAGCTGGGAATCTTTATTTTTTTTTCTCTACTAGGAGCATGACCCAGGAATGGCATGAGCCCTGAAATGTTAAAGTGCATTGCTGTTCTGTTTCTTGTGAAAGAGAAATGAATTAAATTAAGGATTATCTCCTTTCCAGGGGCATAAAGGGTAGTTTGTTTGTTTTTTAAGAGGAGCTTCTGGTTTTCACCACATCAATAATGTAACAGAAATGGACCTGTTCTGCAACAATTTTATGAGTATCATACAATAGGGCTATGCAAAATTTTGATGAGTATTTCGTTTTGAAGCTGTTTCAACTCATTTCGAGTTCAAAACAGCAAAATTGAAACAAAATGAAAGACTTTGAAACAGCTTTGAAACAAAATGAGGGCACTCTCTAAGCATTTCAAAAGTTTCAAAATGTTCTGAGTTTCAAAGCCGGCTTGCTTGCAGCTAAATAGGAACTAAGGATAGGGTGGGGGAAAGGACTGCTCTGATATTGACATCTAGCTCCCAGTTCAATTCCCCAGCTCTCTGATCATTTACCCAGCTCTTTTCAGGGGGCACAGGCCCCCAGTCTGCATGCAGAGCTTTAGCTGGCCAGCACACAGGGTTTCAGTAGGATCTGGGGAGTCAAACTGAGGACTGGGGAATTGAACCTGTGGCTATGTTCAGATCCCTGAACATTCCCCCCCAGTTCCTGATTCAATTCCCCAGCTAGGGTAGAGGCAGCTCTGGGCTATTTCCCCAGCTGGCAGCAGCAGCCTGCTGAAACCCTGTACGTGGATTTGGGGGCTGCGCCCCCAGGAAGAACTGGGGGAACCAAACTGGGAGCTCTGGCTGTCTTGTGGAGCCGCCCCAGCTCCTGGACAGCGTGTAGTGCCCTGCTGAGTTGCACTGCACTGCACTGCACTACAGTGCACCCATGCAATGGTGCAGCTGCCACACAGGTGCCAGGTGCAGGGGGAGATCCCCACTGCCCCCCGCTGTCCCGTGCTGCACAGGGGGGCTCTGCCACACACCCTCAGAAGCCCCAATCACCACTGCCAGATCCAGTGAGTGGGGGACTTTTTTAAAGTTTCACACTCACCAGCTGCAGAGCATGTGGATGATAGCATGCTGCTGCTGCCAGCTAGGGCCAGCGCCAGCACCCAAGTCTGCCTGGTACAGTCCATGCCGAGTGCTAGGAAGAACCCACTGCTGGCCCGAGCCAGCAGCAGCAGCCTGCTGTCATTCCACACAGATCCAGGGGCCCGCACTTCCCCGGGAGGGCTGCAGGTCTGTGCCAGATTCCTCTCCAGGGGTGTGGTCCCCAGATCTGCATGCAGGATGACACATGCTGCTGCTGCTGGCAAGAGATACTAGTTTTGCTTTGAACAGTTTGAGGTGCAGTTTCACAAAAACACCTGCACCTATCTCCTTGAAACTTGGCAGGATTCATGCCCTCTGAAAGGCATATCATCCCTGCAGTTTTCATCCAGATCAGGCAAGAAATGACATAGTTATATGCATGTTTGTGATTCCCCATTATAGCCTAAGGGCAAAATACCAAAACAGCATTGAAACAAGATCAAAACGGTGTCAAAATGGCAGCCCGTGGGCTGCATATGACTCGGGAGGGGCTAACACCTGGCCCATGGACTCCTGCCCAGCCACCACTACTCTCACCTCTGCTGCCGCTGCCAAAGTCTCTGGGCTCTTCCTTCTCTAGATTCTGCTTCCTGCCCCCACCCCTAAAGGTGGGGTGACACAGCCTGCAGAGGCCTGACCTCCTTGATCTCCATGGTGGGGAGTGAGGTCCACTACCTGTATTGCCCATACAGCAGGAGAAGCCCCAGGGAGGCCTGCATGGTGTGCAGGCTCTGACCACTCAGAAGTTGGACAGCCCTGAGTTAAGAATTGACGGGGTGCACACTGAGACACAAGGAAGGAAAAAGTGCAATGAGCCATTATCTATTGCATATGATAGCTTTTCGTTGAGAAAATGTATTAATGAAGGGCATGTATGCGACTGGCACTTGGCATGAGAATTTTCATAGCAGTTTTTGCCAACCTGGGTCTCAGCTGTAGAGCTGTATTTCTGGGACAGGAAAGCTAGTACAGAGTGGTGGGATCATGGTATGACTCGTGTAGCTACAGAAATGCCAGATAATTCAGCACACCTTCCTGGACTTGGGCAAAGAGCTTGACCCATCCCCCTGATAACACAAGATAGTGCCAATGAAGCCCATACAAAACAAATGTAGGTTGCTATTGGAATGTAGAAATTGGCTAGCCCAGACTTGTACAGGTCTTTGACATAGTTAAGGCAACTGTAGGGGTGGTAGAAGCAAAAGAATGAGATGCCATACTGAAACTGGTTTGACCATGGGTTGCAGTCATAAGGGATGTGCCTTACCTAATAGCTGGTTTGCAAAGAGAGGCTTTCCTATCATGCATCAGGCTATTGATGGCATACATGTACCCATAGTCTGCCCTCACAAAGAAGCCAATGAATATGTTAATTGCAAAGAGTATTATCCTCTGGTCATACAGGGTTTGGTGGACCACAGGAGAGAGTTCTTGCATGTGTGACGGGCTAGCTGGCAGTGACCTATCCCAAGGGTTTTGAAAGGGCAAAAGATGATTGGAGGACTTGGGATTCCCTTTCCTCACCAATCAGGCCCCAGAGATTCACCCCTCATGTCCCCTGATTGGCCCCTTGGGTCACCTGGAGGGGGATAAAAGGGGCAGCATGGCTGACTCAGGAGAGAGACCAGCGAGGGACCACGAGGAAGTAGCTTCGAAGAGCTGGGCCAGCGGGACGGAAGCAGTTGCCCCAGAAGAGCCTGAAGGAGTGGAACCTGCAGGCAGCAGTTGGACCCTCAGCAGCACAGCGTGTGGCCAGCAGGAGAGGCTTCCTGCTAGCCTCCAGGATCCCCTACAAGAGGCTGTGGCCAGCAGGAAAGGCTTCCCACTTCAGCAAGGATCTGAGCAGCGTCCTGAGGGGTTCCCGGCTTGGCTTCCAGCTCCTCCAATCAGAGACCAGGCAGCTCGATGTGAGGCCAGGGCTCCAGGAAGGTCAAGACTGCTAGCAGCTTGGAGCAGTATCAGCACTGGTGGCTGTGTGGCAGTTGTCTTGCCTACCACATGGGAGCTCCAAGTTCAAGTCCCAGCTTTGGTGACTAGGGGTGAGTGAACTAACAAGGAAGAGTTCCTCTTGCAGTGGAAAGGGGCCATTGTGTTTTCTCCTACGCCCTATATTTCTTTGTCCTTTGACATTTTGTATTTTGTGCCTTTTATATTTCCCCAACCAGTATTGTTTGCTCTGCTGTTTGTGTTTTATATTTTGTTAACCCTGTCTTTTTGTCAATGATTGTTAAGTGTCTAACCTTTGTTGAATCCTTCCCCTTGGGGCATTGTAGTGTCCACTATACCCCCTGATTATACCTGTTATGTTCCTAGTATTGTTCCCTCATTAAAAGGTATATGGTTAAGTCCCCAGTGGTGGTCTAGCTCTGCTCTATAGGGGAAGGAGAGTCCCTACATCTCCCACAGCACTTGTGCACCTGCTTTGATCCCTTCAATTGGAGAGGGGGTACCTTTTGGAGTACCGCCCGGGTTACACATGCAAATACTGGTGACACATGCAAGGTGCCTGATACCAGGATTCAAAGGAGATCAGGCATTTACTTGAACAAGGTACTGAGATCCAATTCTCTCCCAGTGTCACAATCAACAATGTGGTATAGATATGCACTTACCTTCTCTGGCTACAGCTTATGAAATCATGTCCAGACAACAGTGGCCAGACAGAACATTCAATTACATTCCAAACTGTTGTAAAATGGAGGCTGAACACACAATTGGAAGACTTATGGGAACATGATGCTGTTTCCAAAATCATCCACAAGTACTGATTCTGCTCAGCAGAAGGCAAGGAAATTAGAAATGCCATGTAAACTGACATTGTCAGCACATATGCTAAGTAACTACCCACCTGTCAGCACATTTTAGTTTGGGGGGCACAGTCTCTTCCAAGCTGCTTCAGACCAGAAGTGATTGCAGTGGGATGCTGAAAAATTTGATTCATTCCTTTCTTTCAAATGCTAGAAATGTAATTCTAGCACAAAGCTACATTTTGAAACGTTTTATCATATTTGCTACCCCATCCCTCTTTGTTTCTAAGATTGGCTATACAAAAGGCTGTAGATGGAAAGTTGTCAAGCAAACACCAGAACATGGGATCACAAGTTCATTTTCTTTGGCTCGTGTATGAAAAATTGCTTTATGAAGAGTTTTTGTGTTCCAAAGGACAGCAATTTGAATATCAATGGCAAGGAGGGGAGACTTGTCTAAGGATCCTATTTAACCACTCAGAGTTTCCTGTCTAGTTATGAGAGTGGTCATTTTATCAAGGACATAAACATTTTGGAGGTCCTAGAATGGAAAAAAGATGTGGAATAGTCAGTGAAGGTGCACCGTCAAAGTATATGCAGAAGCTTTTGAAAAGCCTTGTGACCACACAACCACGTGTATAAATGGAGGGGTCTTGTTAGTTCCTGAAGGAGTCCAGTCTGGTTGGCTCTGCTGACTAGCTTAACCCAGCATCTGGAATTCCTTCTGCATGAAAAATTTGCAGTCATCAGTTCCCAGAAGTAAATCAGATGAGGACTAACACTGATAAGCTGCTTAAGGTAAAGGTACTTTCTCCTTGCCCTCACACAGCCCCTTCTCCTGGTGCAACAAAATTTCAGGAACTCATGATGAAAGAAGAATCAAATGATCTCTGAAGCAACTGTACATGGTGTGAGGTTTTTCTGCTAAAAACAATCTACTCCCTGCTCCCCCCACAGGCAAGAACAGACTATTGACTGTACACATTAACAAGCTATGATCTAAATGCTTCAGGAGCTAATTGTTAACATTGTGGCAGCTAAAATATCCCTAAAACTGGCTCAGTGATGCCCCTGGATGTTTGAAGTGTAAAAACTTCTTAGGAAAGAATTATAAGCATTCTGTACACAGTTTGCTACAGCACCAAAACATTGGCCTGTTAAAAATCACAGAAATCAGATAGTTTAGATTGTGGCCTTAATTTTTTTTCTGTTAGCCATGGGGTTAGGTCTGCACAACAAACCATTATGCAGGCTTCTGATGCAGTTTCTGCCCTAAACAAAAGCCAGTTGTACCCATACTTTCTGATTTCACCATCATTAGCCACACACTGGGATACCTCCCTCCCTCTCCCCCTCCTCTTTCCTTTCCCAAAAGTAATAATGAAAATAGCAGGTGGCACTTATCAAGCTGGAACTTGGTATTATATACTGATGGGGCCACCTGAGGTCTGTCAAAGCCCTCAGAAAACTCAGAGGACATCCATCAGTGAAGACAGTGTCCAGTACAGACTGCTCCAGAGTCTCCATACCAGGAGCTACTTGCCTCAACTCCTCAGAGAAAGTAGTCTCCTTTCCCTATGATTATTCCAGCAGCAGGCAGATGAGTGAGGACAGCTGACTTGATATCAATGGCAGCAGCAAGTACTTCACCAGCTTCTTTGTAAAAGAGGTATGTCACTAGAGTATTTACAGACTGCTCTGGTCTTTCACTGAATTACATTTGGATTTGATGAGTTTTCTGTCATGACACTGAGTCCCTAACAGTGGATGTCAGGTACTGCTGGATCTCCTTCAGGCTGCAGCTGAAATAAAGAAACTTGACCTTTTCCACATGTTGACTAGAATGCTCCTGTGCTTCTGAAGCCAGCTAGCTCTTCATTGGGAAACTAGATTGGCTTCTAAGATTACCCAGAGAGGTGGTGGAAGCTCCATCCTTTGAGTGTTTCAAGACCTAGCTAGACAGAGCTTTGGCTGGCATGATGTAGTTGGGGCTGGTGCTGCTTTGAGCAGGGGGTTGGACTAGATGACCTCTGGAGGTCCTTTCCAACCCTCATTTTCTATGATTCTGTGTGCTGCAAGATGGAGCAAAAAAAGTTCTGACCACTCCAGAAAACTCCTGATAGTGTAACCCTTAAAAAAAGTGTGTGTATTGGGGGATGAGGGGGGCTAAGAGAGAGAGAGAGCTTTTGGGCAAGGAGCTTGGTGTGAAAGAAGCTTTACATACTGAGAAAAAATAATCTTTTTCCTGTTCTTTCATTCTTACTGTGTCTAGGGAAACAGGACTTTGTGCATTCTTTATAAATAAACAGCATACCATCAGAGAAATGCATATCTACCTCATTAGTTTCTCCTCTAAGAACTAAATGACTACTTGCATTAAAAAAGATAAGGATGTTGTCAGAAGACAGGTGTCTGCCTTACATCTAGAAGAATTGTGCTATTAAAGGTAAGAAGTTTTGGACTGTTGGTGTCACACAAAAAGCCAATTTATTTCTGAATCCTCTTTTTTCCCATCCTTATCATGCACATATCATTTCTTAAACATGAGTTTCTGGGAAAGTAAAAGATTAGAAAAACTGATGTAAGAACTAATTCATTGTACATCACTTGTTGGAGTCATTGTTGGATGGGAATTAAGCTATAAAGCAGCAGCATTTTTGTTAGAGTATCATTTGAGGATATTTTTGTGTGTGGAAAAAGCAATTGGAAGAGCAAGAAGGTTAGTTTATTTCTTCTTTTTACTAGTTGGGTTTTGTTTTTTGTTTTACAGAAATTGTATATGAATCTAATATTTTAATTTCAAATTAAATTAAAATTACTGCTGAACTTTGGGGAATATTTTTCTTGTTCTATTGTATTCACTCCTAGTCAGTTGATTTGACTGAATTGTTAATGCCACCTGCAACATAGTTTCATTGCTAATTTCAGTGCTAAGGGATTGACTCTGTTCTTTCACATACCTGTGTCCCAGCAGGACCTGCCAGTGATCTCCATTGCTGTCTGCAAGCATCAGCAACATAGGGACAGATCTTCAAAGCCTCCCTCTGTCCCCATGCTCTCTTCACCAAATACTCTCCCACACCTTCTTGATCTCAACACTAGCAGTCTGTCCCTTTCAGTACTGCCCGGATATCCTACAGACTGCAGACTCTTCTACCTTTGCTTGCCTATTCTCTTGTCTTACTGCCAGTAGGTGATTTTATATCTGCCCCACTGTATCTTATTCTTATCTTCTTAAATCCTAGACCTTCCTTACACCTTGCATCTCCATTCCAAGTTACTCCTTTCTACATCTAGCCTCTATTTCCATGCCTCTCTAGCTTGCAAAAACACTCTGCCTGCATCTCAAGACATGCATGTTAGCCGTTCCCTCTCCACCACAGTTTTGTTTTTTTTTATTTATTCTCATATGCTGCATCTTGTCCCAGGCCCTAATTTAAATATCTCAGGGTAGAGAATATATCTATTTATTGTTATCTTGTAAGACACACATATGTTGAGATGCTGTACTAATAAAATATCAGTGGGAAAACTCCAGTTGACTTCAGCAGGCAAAAAGATGGGCCCAGCCTATGTTTTTTTTTCATTCCAAACTATTTGCATAAACAATTGTAGGTCAGAAACAGAATCTTGTAAACTACTGCTAGAAATTTAGAAGTGGGGTCCCAATCCCACTCATATTAAAATCAATGGAAGTTTTACCCTTCGTTTACCAGTTCAGAGGAATACAATGACGTATTCGTAACGGTCTAGGTTTAGTGCCTAAGCAAAATGTGCAAAACGGTTAATGTGTAACAATTACACAAATTAATCTGTCTTCCTTACTCAGGCAGCTTGCCCACTGCTTGTTTACATGCACACCATTAGGAAACCCCTGGCTTCTCTTCCAGATTCGGCTATGGGCTTTGTGCAAACCATGTCACAGAACGGTTGTGTCTATTTTGGTTTACACATCCATGTAATCATAATAATGAAAATCTCTTGCAAGGATGTTGGGAGGCTTACTTAATAGTAAAGCCTGATTAGATCTTCAGATGAAAATCTCTAAAGGAATTAAAGGGAGAGAGAATATGGTAGTCAAGAAATCTGAATATATTCCTGCAAGGTAGGAATTTGATATTTCTTTAGGGCATTGTTGATTTATTTGTAAACCTGGCATATTGATGGATTTAAGTATCCCAATAAATTGCATACTCTATGCCATATTCAGCACATGCAATTTAGTAAAGGGCTAGGTAAATCATGATTTTGTATAAAATACTAATGTATTTGACTTGCAGCATCTCACCTTTCAGACTCATCATGTTGGTTAAAAGTATGTACTATCCAGCTTAATGTTTCTCAGGTTTTAAGATGTAGTCTATCTAACACTTCTTGGAGATTTTAATCAGCATAGTTAGAATTTTTTTTTTTTTATTATGATACTGTATTTTAAATAAACATTATTAGAATCAGTGTACCATCATTTGAGAATTAGTGATTTAGTGCCAAACATGAAATCTCTGATACTGCTGTGGTTATTTAGGCACATCTTTCTGTAAAGGAAATTCACCCATGAGAACTGCAGGTGCTTTGCATCTCTGAAAGCCCAAGAAATCTTGCACCAGGCACCAAAAAGCAGTGTCAAATAATGACAACACATGAATGACCAGCCTGAATTCATGTGATACAGGTAAAAACAGGAGGCAAATCTGGAATGTTAGTCCTGCTTTTTTACTGCAGAAGACCCAGTCTTTCTAGACATCACACTGAGAATATGCACTGTCCTATGACGCAAAAACATGAACCTAACTATTAGGACAAACTTTTAAAGCCTGACTGACAAGACCACTGCAGACATGTTTATAGGAAAGAGCCACACTGGTGTGCTGCCTGTGCCTCTCTGAGTTCCAAGAACAAGTCTTTCCAGCATCGGCATCCTGATGTTCCCACGTTGGTCTGTTGTTCTGTGTCAGTTCATCATCTGTTTATCACTTGGCCCACAGTAATGTGTGTTTTGTAATCATTGCATCAAGGGCTTCCACTGCTGGTTTCTCAGAAATCAGATCTGAATTGGCATTCTGGGATTGGGAAAGAGAATTACAGAAAAACTAAACGAACCCTCCTTGAATCACATCCAAACTCCTGCAAGTGAAGACTGTTTAGCAAGGTAGATTCATACTTCCAAGGGATCAGGCACGTTCAAAAGTTGGAGCTGCTTTCTATTAGGTGCATTGCACTTTGATTAATTTGTGGGGATGGTTTAAATCCTTCTATTTTGTCCACTGTAATCTAAACTGAGTCATGTATTATTGTAAATAAGAGCAATGTAGTGGAATCTATTTCACTTTTTAGGTATCAGCCCAAAGCCTTGGGTTTTTTACAGTACTTAAGGAAAGTAGGAAAAATGCTACTATAAAAGCCACAGCACATTTGCCAGCTGAATTGCTCATGCCATGAAAGTGCCACTCAGTGAATGCCCAGACTGAACCTGGTATTTCAACCTAGTGCCTGAGGAAGGAAATGTGGACTCCACTCTGCATGAGGCCCACTGAAGGATTGTGGTACTGCCTGTGGCAAGGCACTTTTATCTAGATCCTAGTTATTTTTCCCCCTAGGTATGAGCTAGGTACAATTTAGTTCTGTGTTCAGCCATAACTTTAACCCTGGCTTTCTGCTGTTCAAAACAGAGTTTAGACTCTGGGGCAGCGGTTTTCAGCATTTTTTCATTTGCGGACCCCTAAAAAAATTGAATGGAGGTGCAGACCCCTTTGAATTGTAAGCGTGGGTATTCACATACTTTTGATTGATCATAGTCATTTTTGGCAGACCCCTTAGACATCATCTGTGGACCCCTAGGAGCTGTGGACCATAGGCTGAAAACCACTGCTCCAGGGCAAACCTGCAGAGCCACCGAAGTCATGGACAAGGAAATGAGCTGGTGGCCTCAGGGTCTTCTTTTCTGGGGGGTGTGTGTGTGTGTGTGTGTGTGTGTGTGTGTGCGTGTGTAGCGTATATTTATAGTGTGTGTGTGTGTACATGTATAGCATATGTGTATATAGCATGTGTATGCATAGTGTGCGTATATGTGTAATGTACGTGTGTGTATAGTGTGTGTGTACATGTATAGTGTGTTGTTTAGTTAATCCGCGAAGGGGCACCCGCCTCCTGGCTGCTCACTGGAGCAGCAGCCCGCCA